GCCCATTACAAAAAAAAAAAGAAACAGTAATCTATAGCTGGAGACCACCGTGGTTAGCGGTGGAGATGGGCGGCGACGTATAGATGGAGGGTGGTGGCGAAGGGAAGAGGATTTAGCCTTTGGACGGTTTATGTCCCATCCGTGTGCCTTCCCCCTCTTTGTTTATATTTTTTCCAAGAAATAAAAAACACAGTTCACACACTACACTACTTCACTTTACTCTAACCAGTCTCCACTATAAAGAGCAACGCATTTTGTTTTTAAAATATATTTTTTTTTAATTAAAGTGTAATTTTCTAAAAAAAAAAAATGATTAGACAAAAACTTATAATCTCTTTAATTTAAAAAAAAAAAATTAAGAAAATGGTAACGTTTGTTTTGCATTACATGCTTTTGGGTATTATTTTAATTATTTTCCAATCATTTATTTATTTTAATATGTATTTTCCAATACATATATATATATATATATTCTGAATATTTTAATGGACTGGATTAAATCTTTGAGATCTAGGAGATGGGCCAATTGGTTATTGATTGGGCTATGGTAGGAAATCTGTGGGATTATGTCTGGCTTTAATGCATTTGGACATTATTGGTGATTTCCTGCTGTCATCAACTAATTAGGGAGGAGATTATGTCTTTTTTAACAAAATTAATAAATAAATAAAGGAAAAAACATCATGGGCAATTGTAAACAATAATTTCGACCAGACCAAATATAGTTACAACCTACCTTCAATAGGTGAAAATAGATACTGTTAGGTTCTTCCTTTTTTTATCCACTGATAATTATCCTCGACGGTCTAACTATTTTACGTTATTTTTTTCATATAAATATGTAGTACTTATATTACGATTACGATATAACTTATGTTTTTATTTATGTTGTTTTTAATATATAATATTTTAATTTTAAAATATGTTATAGTTGCTAAAAAAATATAGCTGTCGAGACTAGGACTGCAAACTAGTCGAGCGGCGCATGAGCCGCTCGCGAACAGTCGAGCTAAAGCTCGACTCGAGCTCTAGTTTGACCGAACTCGAGTCGATCTCGAGCGCTCAAGCACGAACTCGAGTCAAGCTCAAGCCCATATTTTGCATTGTCGAGCGACTTGTCGAGCAGCTCAATATATATATGTTAAATTACTAAAATACCTCTTATATATATATATTTAAATAGTATAACCATGTGCTTAATGGTAATTTACTTTTCACTTACAAAATTTTCGAGCTGAACTCGAGCATTTTGATTTCGAGTCGAGCTCGAGCTATTGTATTTTCTTCTCGAATCGAGCTCAAACAGCTAAAAAAAGAAATTCAACCCTGCTTTATAAGGCCAATGCTCAATTCGGCTCGACTTGTTAGCAGCCCTAGTCGAGACTATTAAATCTGCTTAACAACAACTTAACTTTTTTTTTTTATTATTAAATATGGCTTTTTTTACGTTTTATTTTTTGTTTGTTGTCTATGAAAAAGCAATTTCTTAGGTATATTTTATTAGTAAAATAAAATGAAGGTGGATTAACAAAATGAAAATTTGAGAGGAAAACAAACAAGTAACGAATTTGTTGATATTAAGTGATGTTGGGTGGGAAGAAAATGTGTGTGGTGGTAAACAAAATCGATTAGATTGATTATAATGTCTAAAGCTTGAATTTAACGAAACTTTGTGTCGAGTCACACACTTGTCTTTTTTAAAGGATCAATAGTGGTTCCCCACTTACCTCCTTGGATGACTCGAACTCGTGGTCTATTAGTTTTAAGTGAGTAGTGCTACCAACTTAGCTACTCCTTCTTCACACACTTGAGAGCATTTTTTTTTTTTCTTTTTTTTCTTTTAACGAAACAATATTGTAATAATATGTTTTTTCCCTCTAAATGTACCCAATTTTGGTGGTAATTTACAAAGCCTCTTTATAAGTAAAAGCAAGATTTAACTAATCAACTTAAATTGATAAAAAAAATTGGTCAATTATTTGGAAGATAAATTTATCTTACTGTGCTAGAAAAGTTATGATGATCTCATTCAATAATTTCAATCCTCAAGTATCAAACAGGTAACAAGTTGAAACATAAAAAGTTATGCTAATAATGTTTTTTTGTCTCATAGAAGTCATATATCAAGTTTTTTTTTTTTTTTTAATTTCAAAATTAGCATTTTAAATCTATAATTTATTTAAAACCATTACTTACCACATAATAAATCAGAGGTAATATCTAACTTCAAACAGCCCTACAAATTCAATGTCTATAACAAATATAGAAGAACTTATTCTTGAAAGCTTGAACAGCCTAAAAGATGAAGGGATAACAGCCACTGCACATAAAAGGGAATCGCATACTTTCTTGGTTTGTGACTTTGTTCTAACCAAAACGAAAAAATAAAACAAAATTAATAAAGAAACCTTTTTATAATAACCACAAAGCTAAAAAACAAAAAGTAAATTAAAGGCAGCATAATCAAGGGATAAAAGTGTAAAAAAAATAAAAAATTATTGATATTTGTTAAAGGATTATTGTCTTTGTCGTCCCCAAATTTCTCCCCATCAACAGTAGCATTGGACCCAACTTTCAATATCAGAGGCCTTTATCAATCATCTTTTTAGTCCCACTATTTTAATATTCATTCATTAAGGTCCCCCACCTAGAATTTATAGAGGTATATAATCTTAATTTAGGCTTCACATAATGTGGATAAGTGTAATATATTGAAAACTTTTTGTTCTTAAATGATGTATAATCAAATATATAAAAAACATTTAGTAACGTAACAACTTAGACGGTCACTCGTTATGAATTACATGGATCCATAACGACGTCACAATTATATACATGTCAACAATGTATAAAATATAAATTCGAACATAATTTTTCAACACAAAATTGTCCTTAAATTTTCACATGCCACATCAAGAAAACACAATCTCACTTTGTTTTCCAATGAAAATGTTTTTTTTTTTTAAAAAACAAAATTCAAAATTATACTTCCCATAACTGTAGATGCTTTAAGAGGAAAGATCACACACAGTGCACAACAAAAATTCTATGGAGCCATCGTATAGT